GCGTCTACGTCTGGTCAGCTGGCGGCCCCCTGTGAGTGTCGCGCTTTGTCGCACGACACTCTCCTGTGGCACCACCGTCTTGGTCACCCCTCCTTGCCTCGCCTGCGTCGCATGCACTCTCGCTCCCTGGTCTCTGGTCTTCCCAGGTCTCTGCCTGCCCTCCCTCCCTCGCCTGCGCCGCCCTGCATTCCTTGCATCGAGGGGCGGCAGCGCGCCGCTCCTCACTCCTCCTCGTTTCCTCCCACAGAGGCTCCCCTGCAGACGCTCCACCTGGACGTGTGGGGCCCAGCCCGCGTCCAGGGACAGGGCCGCGAGCGGTACTTCCTGCTGGTCGTCGACGACTACACGCGTTACACCACGGTCTTCCCCTTGCAGAGCAAGGGGGACGTCCCTGATGTTTTGATCCCTTGGATCCGCGCTGTTCGTCTCCAGCTCCGCGAGCGGTTCCGGCGGGATTTTCCTGTCCTGCGTCTGCACTCTGACAGAGGTGGTGAGTTCTCCTCTGACCTCTTGGCAGCCTACTGTGCGGAGCACGGCATCACCCAGTCGTTCACGCTTCCGGCCTCTCCACAGCAGAATGGGGTTGCTGAGCGTCGCATTGGCTTAGTCATGGAGGTCGCTCGTACCTCCATGATCCATGCGGCTGCCCCCCATTTCCTGTGGCCGTTTGCGGTCCGGTACGCCGCGCATCAGCTCAACCTCTGGCCCCGTGTCTCCTTGCCGGAGACCTCGCCCACACTGCTGTGGACGGGGAAGGTTGGTGATGCGTCGCGTTTCCGGGTCTGGGGTGCTCGTGCCTTTGTCCGCGATACCACCGCGGACAAGCTCTCCGCCCGCGCTGTTCCCTGTGTCTTCCTTGGCTTTGTCCCTGACGCGCCTGGTTGGCAGTTTTACCATCCCACCTCGCGCCGTGTCTTTGCGTCTCAGGACGTCACGTTCGACGAGTCGGTTCCCTTTTACCGTCTCTTCCCCTACCGCACTGCCCCGCTCCCCCCCCCGCCGCTCTTCCTCGCTCCAGGTGCTCCCCAGGTAGACCCCCTCCCCACTCCTGGTCCTGCTCCTTCAGGTGTTTCTCAGGTAGACCCTCCTCCCTTGACTGCGCCGGTTGAGGTCACTGGTGACTCAGGTCCTACTGAGGGTGGTCCTTCTCGGGGTGCTACTTCTAGGGGTGTTGAGCCTGGGGGTGCGGAGCCTGGGGGTGCTGAGCCTGGGGGTGCTGAGCCTGAGGGTGCGGAGCTTGAGGGTGTGGAGCCTGGTGGTGCTGAGCCTGAGTGTGAGGGGTCTGGGGGTGCTGAGCTTGGCGGTGCTGACGCTGGAGGTTCTGGAGCTACTGAGGGTGCTGGCGCTGGAGGTTCTGGAGCCGCTGGAGGTGCAGGTGCTGAGGGTACTGACACCGGAGGTTCTGGAGCCGTTGGGGGTGCGGGCGCTGAGGGTTCTGAGTCTGCTGTTGCGCGGTCTCCTTGGAGTAGCCGCCTTCGTCCACGGGTGCCTCTCACCCCACAGCAGCTGCAGGACTGGTACGGTCGCCGTCCGCGTCGCGCTGCTGGAGCTAGGAGTGGTGCTGGACCTTTGTCTACTGGAGGTGCTGGAGTCGCTGGTTCTGGAGGTGCTCGTACTGGAGACACTGCGGCTGGAGACCCTGGGACTGGAGGTGCTGGCTCTGGAGGTGCTGCTGCTGGAGACACTGAGGCTGGAGACCCTGGGACTGGAGGTGCTGGTTCTGGGGGTGCTGCTGCTGGAGACACAGAGGGTGGAGACCCTGGGACTGGAGGTGCTGGTTCTGGGGGTGCTGCTGCTGGAGACACTGAGGCTGGAGACCCTGGGACTGGAGGTGCTGGTTCTGGGGGTGCTGCTGCTGGAGACACAGAGGTTGGAGACCCTGGGGCTGGAGGTGTCGGCTCTGGGACTGGAGCTTCTGGAGCTGCTGGAGGTACTGGAGCTGCTGGAGGCACTCGAGCTGCTGGAGCTGCCGCTCCTGGTGCAGCTGCGCCGACACGACGGTTCTTCGCTCCGCCGTCTCCGTCGTCTCTGCCGCCGTCTGACTCTGTTCTTCGTCAGGTTCTTACTCTCCCGTCGTCTACTGGTCTTCCGTTACAGCCCGGCTCACCGCTGCCTGCTCCTTCTCCTTACACTGTGCAGACTGGTAGTCCTGCTGAGCGTCGTGAGCCTGCGTCGCGTCCTGTTTCGCCTGTTCGTCCTAGTCGTACCGGTCGTCGTGTTCCTCGTTCGCGTCAGCCGGCTGTCCCCAGCGCACACCTCGTAGTCCGTCGTCCTTCCTCTGCTCCGCAGCCTGTTCCTCTGCCGTCTCCTCCTGCGTCCTCGTTGCCTGACGTTCCGGACCCTGAGTCTGACCGATTTCGTGCTGAGCACCCTACTGTCACGCGTCTACTAGCCACAGTTGTCACTGACCCGTCGTTTGAGTCTGCTGCTGCGTCTGCTCTTGTCGCTGAGCTTGTTGACTTTGCTGCTGCCTGTCGTCTAGACTTCACTGCCAGTCTTGTTGCTGAGTCGGAGTCTGTCTGTCCTCCGTCCGTCGGGGGTGATTGTGCTCTTAGCACGGACGTCCTTGAGGACAGGCAGGAGGAGTTCCAGTGTCTCGCTGCTGCTTTACCTCATCTTGTGTCCTCGCTACTTGCCCCTGAGGGAGACCCGGATGCACCAGACATCCCGACTCCGCGCTCTTACGCAGAGGCGATAGAGGGTCCCTACTCCTCTTAGTGGCAGGCAGCCATGGACGCAGAGATGGCTTCCTGGAAGTCCACAGGCACCTATGTCGACGAGGTTCCCCCACCTGGGGCGAACATCGTTAGTGGCATGTGGATTTTCAGGGTGAAGCGGCCGCCGGGTTCTCCGCCTGTCTTCAAGGCGCGTTACGTGGCTCGAGGCTTCAATCAGCGAGAGGGAGTTGACTTCTTCCATACCTTCTCCCCCACCCCGAAGATGACCACTCTTCGGGTGCTGCTGCATGTTGCTGCTCACCGTGACTACGAGCTTCACTCTCTTGACTTTAGCACAGCTTTCTTATAGGGCAGCCTGCACGAGGAGATCTGGCTGCGCCGCCCCCCGGGCTTCACTGGGTCGTTCCCTCCTGGCACCCAGTGGAGCCTCCGGCGGCCGGTCTACGGTCTCCGCCAGGCACCACGTGAGTGGCACGACACACTGAGGACTACGCTTGCGGCTCTTGGGTTTGCGCCTTCTACTGCTGACCCGTCGCTGTTTCTGCGCACCGACACTTCACTGCCGCCGTTCTACATCCTCGTGTACGTCGACGACTTGGTTTTTGCCACTGCTGACACTGAGGCTCTCGCCCACGTGAAGTCGGAGCTGCAGAAGAGACACACGTGCACAGACTTGGGTGAGCTGCGCAGCTACCTTGGCTTGCAGATCACCCGGGACCGAGCACGCCGCACCATCACCTTGACTCAGTCGCACATGGTGCAGCAGGTCCTTCAGCGCTTCGGCTTCACCTGGTCTTCAGCACAGGCCACTCCTCTGGCTACAGGTCACACGCTCTCAGCTCCACCTTCGGACGAGTCCGTAGAGCTGAGTGGTCCTTACCCAGAGCTAGTCGGCTGCCTCATGTACCTGATGACTTGCACTCGACCTGACCTCGCGTACCCTCTTGGTCTTCTGGCTCGCTACGTGGCTCCTGGTCGGCACCGACCTGAGCACATGGCTGCTGCTAAGAGGGTACTGCGCTACTTGTGCAGCACATCAGGCATGGGGCTAGTGCTTGGAGGGACGAGCCCAGGTGTCCTCACTGGGCACTCAGACGCTTCTTGGGTTGACGACCTGGCTACTCAGCGGTCGTCACAGGGTTACACCTTCAGCCTTGGCTCTGGTTCAGTTTCGTGGCGTTCTACACGCTCGTCTTCAGTTCTCAGCTCCAGTTGTGAGGCTGAGATCTACGCCACAGCCATGGCTGCACAGGAGTTACGCTGGCTCACCTACCTGCTGACTGACTTGGGAGAGCAGCCTCGTTCTCCTCCAGTGCTGTACGTCGACAACAAGGCCGCCATTGCCTTGTGTGAGGAGCACAGACTGGAGCACAGAACGAAGCACATTGCTCTGCGTTACTTCCTGGCTCGAGAGTTGCAGCAGCGAGGCCAGCTTCGTCTTCGTCACGTGGCCACTCGGGCCAACACTGCTGATATATTCACCAAGGCACTTCCGTCTGGTGATCATCAGCGCTTTTGTACCCTGTTAGGCCTTGTGCCTACGCTTCCACACTTGCTGTAGTTTCTGCTTGTACTGTGATCTATATATATACATGCATGCCTGCTCTTGCTAGGTAGTCATCACTGTACTGTTATTGTTGCATATATATCTCTGCATGTGGACTGGCCTTGTGGCCCTTTGCTTGTGCTCAGAATGTGTGGTGACGTTGAGATCCACCCTGAGCTTGCTTTGCTTCTCTTGACTGGTCGTTTGACCCCTTGTTCTCCCCCACTTTGCCTATGGGGGTGTGTCAAACATATATGCTGGATATTGTCTAGGCTGTAGTGGGGTAGCCCATATGGGGTACAGCCCAATTAGGGTTTACTACTTGTACTCCTGCATGCTGCTAGTTCATTCATTCCTGCTGCTAGATTCTGACACTGCGTTCTTGGATGTGGATAGGATGACTGCTCTCAGACCGGACTCGCATAAGGGAAAGACGGGGAAGTCCGAGTCTGCTGCTGTGGACTGCCTTCACTATTGCATCCCTGGGCCTCAGGATGGTTGGTCTGACATGCTCTTCAACATGGTGCTGGACCTGCTGTAATCAATCAATAAAAGAATATATTTGTTATCATAGTGTAGCAGTGTATTTACCCCCACACAATACTGCCTCATGGTGTGGGGAGGGAATTGGGAGAGAATGGCTGCTCCTAAGGCTCCTGAATGCTCTTCTCGCGAACATGCTTTCAGCAGGGTTGTCCCAGGGTAAGAAACACAAGCTCAATTGTACACGAGCTAATGTACTGGAGATGTACATTTGTAGTCAAGGCTTGAAGTGGTCAACCTGATTCTTCAGGAGTTACAATCCCCTTTTCTTCACCTTCCATACTCCTCACTGCTTCTTCTTTAGCTTTTCTTTTCTTGGCCGCTGCTGGTTTTCCTGCTGCTGTTTCTTCTGCGCCCCCCCCAGCCACAGCAGCAGCAGCAGCTGCTGCTTCACGCTTCTCCATCTTCCCTTTTCGTTTCACACTCTTCTCATTCCTCAAAGCTGCGCAAGAACGAACAAAACAGTAATAAAAACGTTATGAGATAGGGGAAGGAGTGCTGGTCTTCAACACTGTAATTGCGCGGAAACTTGTGGGGCATTTGGGGGTGAAACGGGGAAGAGGAAGAAACGAGCTGACCTTGCAGCGTGGATTGCAGAGCAGGTAGGAACTCCGGGAACTGAATGTCTTCAATGCTGGCCAGCACATCGGCAGCGCTCACCGTCTGCCGCTTGTTGCTGCGGCACACATCGTTGGCCCTGGTAGGCGGAAAGAGTGACAGGAGGTAAAGATGGGACATGAGGGAAAGATGAGATAGGAGGGATAGATAGTGTACGGTAATTCTTTGTTTCTCTGTTGCTGCAGCAAAAATCCCTGCAGCGCACATTCTGGACCTGAAGACAATAAAAAGCAGGACTCTGATCATTACAAAGAAAGAGAGAGACGACAATAAGGGAAAAGACGCCGATCGTCACTGGGCCACAGAAAACAAGAGTCATTCGAAAGTTCAGACGACATCTAGTCACTCTTCATTCGACTCAAAAGTGCACTCCAAGATGAAAATAGGTAGGAAATGCTCACGTAGCAGTCAGGTAGTGGATGAAAACCCTAGCGCTCTCCGACAGTGCGATCAGCGCATCCTTCGCCACCTGCACTTCCTTCTTCCGCCCAGACCCTTCCCCCACTGCGCCCGCTGCGCCCCTCGCTCCTCCCAAACCCCCCCTTGCTGCATCACCTCCTGCACTTTGGCTTTAACGATTCTCCGCACCACTGTCCGCGGTAATTCCTCGACTTCCCCTGAGATCTGCGCAGCTCCGCCGCTTGCTCCTCCGCCATCCCCTTCTCCGCCGATCGTCCCTGGCGGATCTCGCTTTTTGCGCGAGCCACCCCCCTTCCCCTTCTCTGCGCGGCCCTTAGCGCTCGAATCCTTATTCGCAGCCGCGGGGGTTTCCGCATCCATCGAAGATTGCTCTCCAGCGGGTGCCACGTCAGCAGACTGCTGCTCGTTTGCCAGATGGCTAGGATCGTCGTCTCTTCTCGGCGACGCCATCGCCTAAGACGACAAGGCGTACGGTGCGAAGCTTCTTTGCCGACTATGCGAAACGCGCACGGAACGACCTTTCGTTAGTTGCGCGTCGCAAATTATTTCTCGGAGAAAGTGCCTGCTTCGTTTGAAAAGATGAGGAGATGTGCTCGTGCGCAACGTTTCCCTTCATTGATTTTCAAAGCGGTTCAATAAACGGTTTACACGATAAACAGCGGTACTTGTTCTTCACTGCTCTGGAATGTGATGCTGTGGTGGGTGAGAAGTGAGCATGCCCTTAGTAAATTATTCCTTCGCGGCAATGTGTCAGAAGTTGTCTGAGGCTGGTAACATACGCTCACGAAGTTCCCCAATGCCTACCTCACCGAACAATGTAACCCGACATCATGGTCAAAGCAAACATTTCGCCCGTAACATCTCCAAATCACCCCGCCAACTCAACGGCAACTGACGACAATCCGTTTTTGAAATACACCTGACAGCCGAAATGGGGTTGCGGAGCGGACTTGCGGGGAACCGAGACGACTGAGTTTCTGACGGATTCCCCGACTGAATTTCCAACAGATTCTGTGACTGATATTTCTGTTACGTATCAATTGAGGAGTGGGGGAAGAATCCCCAGCAGGGCTGTCGCTTGCAGGGCGTTTGCCCTGCTGGACCTTGAATTCCAGGGCTGATTCGCCCTTGGAAACTGAAATTGATGGGCTGGAAAATTTCTGGCCCTGATTCCTTACAGGGCTAATTTTGGGCTGAGGCCTGGTGTGTAAAGGGTAGATTCTAGGCGAGCCCTGGAACAGATTCTCTTGAGTCCCCCACACATACCTTCCTCTCCCCCACAACCCCTCCAATTTCCTCTCCCCCCCGTTTCTGTCCTGACCAGATTGCAAATTTGGGTGTGGTTAGGCCCCAAATTTCACTCAACCTTACTGAGTACTTGCGCCAATCACAACTTCGCTCCCTAACAAAATGAATCGGCAATCACAACTTAGTACTTTCTCCCTAACTTCGCCAATCACAACATGAATTGGCATAGCATTAGCAAAACACCCTCAGAGTGGCGAGATGACTACCCCACCCTCATGCACAAGATCATCAGTGCTGCCTGCCAGGCTAGGGGGCCTGCTCAGATCTTGTTCGTAGTTTTGACACCAGCTGCTTATGAGTGTCAACACGAGTCGGCCCACGTTTCCGTGTCAATCACTGTAGATTCAGGGTCAAATCGAGTCGCGCCCACGGATATGTGCGACCAAAGCTGATTGGTCCTACATGAATCTGCATGGCGATTCCTCCAATGTCTCGAGTCGCAGGTGTGTGTTTGGCAGGCGATTTCTGGAAATTGGTTTTGCAGATTAGTTTGATCGGGTGGGAGCGGGGCGCCAGGTTTAGCAAGTGCGAAAGTTTTGGTTGGTTGGGATGCGATGCGACTCTGGGCGAGCGGGACCTCCGATGATTCTGACAGGCTGACTCCAGGCGAATTCTGACACCAACATACATTGTATGTTGGTGTCAAAATCCCATTTTGACACCAGTGTCAAAACTACGAACAAGCCCTTAGCGTGCGTAGTGAAATGACACGAACAACTGGATTTTTGTTTGCTTGTTGAATTTAATCTCAGAGTATCGTACCAAACCTAATTCGAAGGGAGGAATAAATTGCAGCCCTGAAGCCTAAAGGGCCGAGATTCGCCCCAACCCTGCTAAATACAGGGTCGTACATGCTGGGCCACCTGATTTGTCCGGGGGGCCCAAAACGAAACGACAGCCCTGATCCCCAGACTCTCTATACCTGAAGCTCAGCCGAACAACCTTGGGATTCGCACACAACTAGTAGCATAGCTAGTTCGGCTTTGGAATTTTCTACTGAACACAGCGTTACTGTTTAGGCTTGCGGTTCGTCAACGTGAAAGTGAAGCACGCGTTCAGTTAGCAACGCAGTCGTCGGCTCTAGTTGGTTTCTCTACTAGATTAGGGTTCGTGGGTTCCGTGGAAGCGTTTGGGAGCTTGACGATAAGGCACTCGGACGTAGTTTCTTTTAGTTTCCTTCTGTCACCTGCATCGTTCAAATATTCGTCAAAGCTTTCTCGTCTTAAGACTCTGTAGATACTTGAATCTTACAATAGATTGGTCTCGCCATTGTCGCACTGATTAAAGTCACGTCACATTGTAACCCCAAGTGTGCCATGGCGGAGGAACAAACGCAACAATCACTGGATACGGAAGCACCACCACCACCCTCTCCAACTCTTTCCGAGGAGTTTGGCGGCGATTTTATCATCTACAATCGGCCGCCTATCAAGGAAGTCTGCCTCGCTTTCCTCCTGCTGGCACTTGGAGCCTTAGGGATCATTGTGGGATCATGGATGACGTACCACAAAGTGTGGGGAGATCGCTCCCACGGTACGTATGACCGCATTCTGGCTGTTCGACGTACGGGTGCTTTGAATTTCCAGGTTCATTTGGAATCCCAAAAATGGTTTCCGATGCAATCTTCTTCGTTCCTGACTGCTTACTCACGTCCGTGCCTGCTGCTTTCTCTTTCCTCCATTCTTCCCTCCTCCCCTTCCATCCCCCTCCACTTGCTCCCTCCTGCATGTGTCGTTGTTTGTTCACATAGAGTGCGCTGTTTCTCAATAATCCATATAGATTCACGCGTTTGTGCCCCTCCCTCTGTTCACCCTTCCGTGTTTACAGGAATCTCTTTTATTATATTGGGCGTTCTACTCTTTATACCCGGTTTCCACGAAAGTCGCATTGCCTACTTCGCATTCATCGGTTACAAAGACTTTTCATTCTCCAATATACCAGCAGTCTAGTCCAACTTCCTGTGGTGCTGTGTTATGAAGGATAAAATTGTGTGGATTTATTTCTTCAGTGTTATCTATATCATTTGTACAATTGCCTTCGTACACTAACTTTCCTTCATGTATCGGGTATTTTCAGGATCAGTTGTCAGCCACAAAGTGCACACCAGCCTGGAACTTTTTGCGCGTCCTTCATGACCTCTCGTTCAAAAAGCAGGGTATTAGGGCGTGTATCTTTTGCCCGGACCGACGGTCCGGACGGCGTGCGAAATGTTGCGTCAATGCTCGCATGCTCTCCAATTCGATAACGGGCTCAAACGGTCCGGACAGTGAGCTGGATACCCTTTTCGCATGCCGTCCGTACCGAGTGGTCCGGGCAAAAGATACACGCCCTCACTACGAACCGTGTTCAGCGTTTCGTGACCGCTCTCAACCTGGGAAGAACCATGAAAGCAACGATTTTTTTCCAGCTTGCGAACGTCAAACACAGGCTGCTACGTTCATCACATCCTTGACAGCAGGTGACGACGATGGAAGAAGCTCCTTTCTGACTTCACTCAGCTGGGTTCACTGACACACGTTCCCCGGCTTTCGTTGGGACAGTGTCAGTGGCACTACTTTTACTCGCCTTTTTCTGCTCTCGGTATTACCCCTTAGTTCCACGGGCTGCAGGATTTGACTGCCAGCTGCAGGGCTCGATTGCGTTCGTCGGCTGCATTTTCTGACAGCAGGGAAGAATGGCGTCAGCCGCTCTTCAACCCAACATGGGAACCTCCTGGCACGTCTCATCCCAGTTCAGTATCCCAGTCCCGCGTCGCTCGCGCTTTCGACGAACTTTCCTGATACCGTGCGTATGGGAGCAGAAACGTTCGCCTCGTTCCATTTTGCCCAAATCGACGTCGCGGCAGGCATTACGTCTTGTATCTCAGCCTCTTAACGGAGCTGCTAATGGCGCGGCGCAAGTTAGTGAATGGCGTAGACGGTCTACGCTGACGGTGTGTAGTCACGATTCCACGTCAGCAGGTTCGGACAGGGCAAAATCTTCAGTGTGTCGGTCAACGTCCGTTGCTGCTCCTCCTGCATCCTCCTTTTCTTCCTCCACCTCCTCCTCCTCCTCCAATCCCTCTTCCTCCTCATCCACGCTCCCTCCTCCACCCGCACCCGAGTTTTTCCCTCCTGAAGGCGACACGGCCGGCGCGGCGTTTCTTTTAGAAGATGTGACTCTATCGGCGGGAGATCGCGACCTGCTCTCGCTAGTTTCATGGCGGGTAATGCCGGGGGAGCGAGTCGGGTTGGTGGGGTCAAACGGGTGTGGCAAGTCAACGCTTCTGCGTGCTCTGATTGGTCGACAGCTGGTGGACGGCGGGAGGGTGATTGTATCGCGAGGATCGCGGATCGACTACCTGGAACAAACGTGAGTATAACGGGAGGAGACAGATGAATGATCTTCCTATCCAAATGGGTTCGTTCGATAGCTCTGAGTGAACGACAACTGGGGAAGGAGGGTTACTGTAGCGAGGGCTATTCTGCGGCTGTTGTTCCCCACGTTTCCATTCGACCTCCCTCCGTCCCACTTCCCGCACACACCCCTCCCCTTTCTCCGCCCCTTCCGCCCCTCCCCACCCCCCCGCACTCCCCTCCCTTCCAGTGCTGTGTCAGGATCACGTAGGAGCGTGTGGGAGGAGGCTAGTTCTCGCGTATGGATGCTCTCAACCAAGCAGAGGGTTTCCTCCCTTTCCCCACCAACTCACCTCCTGTCAACACATCCCCCTCCCACTCGTCTCCCCTTCTTTCTCCCCAAACCACCCGCTCTTTCTTTCCCTTCCAGTGCGGTGTCAGGGTTACGGAGGAGCGTGTGGGAGGAGGCGAGTTCGCGTATGAATGCTCTCAACCAAGCAAAGGGTTCCCCACCCCCCTCCCCACAAACACACTTCCCGCACTCCCCTCCTTTCCAGTGCTGTGTCAGGATCACGGAGGAGCGTGTGGGAGGAAGCGAGCTCTCGCATGGATGCTCTCAACCAAGCAGAGGCTGACATGCATTCAGCTGAGGCTGAGCTGACAGGTAGCGAGGATGAGGTGGCAGCAGATGGAGCTGAGCTGGCGGGTGGTTTGAGTGACGTGGCGGGGGAGAGGGCGAGGGCGATGGAGCAGGCTGCAATCCGATTCGTCGAGGCGCAGATGCGCTTCGATGCGATTGGGGGAGCGAAAAAGGACGAGATTGTTTCCAGGTGAGAGAGGGGGAGCGGGGGAGGCGAGGCGGCAGGGTAGAGTGCAGCGAGCAGTAGTTAGTGAGTGCAGTGCAGGGTGGTTTCTGAGAAGTCTCAAGAATTTCCACAAGGTGAGGGAAGGGAATGGATGTGAGGCAAGGCTAGAACAGCAAACTTCTAACTCTGGGCTTCAAACTTCAGACTTGAAGCTTGAAGGGAGAGAGTTAAAGAAGGGTGAAGCTTGAAGGGGGAGAGGTAAAGAAGGGGGTTCACATGCAGTTCAATTCAAGCATCAGCTCTTCCAATCCAAGTACCTGCATGGGGCTTCCCGCTTGTTAAGGGATGGCCTGCAACTCCTCTCCTCTGACGGTTTCTGGCCTTCCGAGCTGGTATATCTTCTTTTGGGTAGCATTTTTACAGCCTCGTTCCTCTGTTGCTCAAGCGCTTTCATCAGGTTTGCTGCTACTCCACTATGAGCTTGACTCCACTATGAGCTTGACTCCACTATGAGCTTGACTCCACTATGAGCTTGTCTCCACTATGAGCTTGTCTCCACTATGAGCTTGTCTCCACTATGAGCTTGTCTCCCCTGACGGTTTTTGACCTTCCGAGCTGGTATATTAGAAACCGTCAGAACAGGAGGGAACGGTATATCTTCTTCGTATCTCCTCTTCCGTCCCCTTTTTCCCCATCCTAGTTCTCCCCCCCCCCTCTCTCTCTCCCTCCCCTACCCTTCACTTCCCTCATTCCAGTGTGCTCAAAGGTCTCGGGTTCGATTCCTCCAACTGGCACAATCCCTGCGACTCCTTCTCTGGCGGCTGGCAGATGAGAATCGCCCTGGCCAGGCTGCTTCTGGGGCAGGCATCAGCTGCAGCCGCAGGGCAGGGGGACAGGTCGCTGCTGTTGTTGGATGAGCCTACCAATCACCTGGATGCCGCTGCTAGGGTGAGTGGGAGAGGCAGGTGCTTCTGGGGTAGGTGGCATCTGTTGCAGCAGCGAGTCAAAGGGGCAGGTCGCTACTGCTGCTGGACGAGCCTACAAACCACCTAGACGCTGCTGCTAGGGTGAGTGCGTTTAGAAGGTCAAGGCAGAGGTGAGCAGGGAGAGACAGGCTGCTTCTGGGGCAGGAGTGAACTGCAGCAGCAGGGCAGGGGGACAGGTTGCTACTGCTTCTAAACGAGCCTACAAACCACCTGGACGCTGCTTCTAAGGTGAGTGGGAGGGGCAGGTGCTGCTCGTGACTCACAACGGTGGCGGCAGCGTATTTTTGAGGCGCCCCCTTCAAAGGGGGTGAAGGGGGTGAGGGGGGCGGGGCGTATGTTTGAGGCGCCTCAAACACGGGGATCCCAGCTTCAGCACTACTCCTGCACTACTCCTGCACTACTCCTGCACTACTCCTGCACTACTCCTGCACTACTCCTGCACTACTCCTGCACTACTCCTGCACTACTCCTGCACTACTCCTGCACTACTCCTGCACTACTCCTGCACTACTCCTGCACTACTCCTGCACTACTCCTGCACTACTCCTGCACTACTCCTGCACTACTCCTGCACTACTCCTGCACTACTCCTGCACTACTCCTGCACTACTCCTGCACTACTCCTGCACTACTCCTGCACTACTCCTGCTCCTTCCCTTCCCTGCCGTGTTTGAAGAAGTGTTTTGAGACGTCTCAAAACACTCAAACACGGGGATCCCAGCTTCAGCACTACTCCTGCTCCTTCCCTTCCCTTTCATGTCGTATGTACCAGCAGCCCTGGTGGTAGTGCGTCACGATCAAACCCTCCTGGATCGCGTTTGTCAGAAAAAACGTTAAAGTCCGGGGCTCCCAGCTTCCCCCTACCCTACCCTTCTCCTTCGCTTCCCTCGTACGGCTGGCGGAGTTCTTATGCCCTTCTGGCAGCCCTGGTGGTTGTTGAGAGTCACAATCGGACCCTTCTGGACCGCGCTGATTTGCTTGGCTCCCCTTTTTCTACCTCCCTCCTTCCACCACGCAGGCATGGCTGGCGGAGCACTTATTTCGCGTGCAAGCAGCCCTGGTCGTCGTGAGTCACGATCAGACCCTTCTGGACCGAGTCTGCCAGAAAATCATTGAAATGCGGGGCTCCCAGCTTCATACTGCTCCTGCTCTTTCCCTTCCCTTCCACCACCACCCCAGGCATGGCTGGTGGACTACTTGTGTCGCATGCAAGCAGCCCTGGTGGTGGTTAGTCACGGTCAGACCCTCCTGGACCGCACTGATTTACCTTACTTGGCTTCCTTACTCCCTTTTTTTATCACACCAGGCATGGCTGGCGGACTACTTATGTCGGGTGCAAGCAGCCTTAGTGGTGGTGAGTCACGATCAGACCCTCCTGGACCGCGTCTGCCAGAAGATCGTTGAAGTGCGGGGGTCCCAGCTGCACCACTACTCGTGCTCCTTCTCCAAATTCCTGGTCGAGAGGGAGGAGCGGAGGAGGCAGAGGGAGAGGGAGATGGAGGGGAAGCGGGGCGAGATTGCGAAGCTGGAGGGGTTTATCAATAGGTTTGGGGCTAAAGCTACCAAGGCTGCTGCTGCGAATTCGAAGAAGAAAGCACTGGAGAAGATTCGAGCGAGCATGCCTGATGAGGATGAAGAGGAGGCAGGTGAGGGGGTGTTCTGGTGGGGGGGTGGGGGGGGGGAGGGAATAAGGGGGATAGTGGTGGACAAAGGCGAATTCGGAAGAAGAAAGCACTGGAGAAGATCTGAGCGAGCATGCCGGATGAGGAGGAGGGGACCGAAGGAAGGTGGCTGTGACGTTTCCCTTCCCCCGCCTCGATTTGAAGTGCCTCAAAACTGTGACGTTTCCCCTGCCTCCCTCTTGGGTTTGCACTGGCTTGCCTTTAAAAGTGACGCGGGAGGGGACACGTCAGCCTCTGCTATCTCCCTTCATCCCACCCCCCCAATCCTCCCAATCCCCCCCAGCCTTTGCCAGCGACGCGGGAGGGGACCGAAGGAAGGTGGCTGTGAGGTTCCCGCCGCCTCCCCCCTGCTCACGCGAAGTCATCATGCTTAGATGCGCTGCCGTTGGCTGGGCTGGTGCCACGTCACCTCTGATTGAACACGTTAGCTTCAGCATTGAGACTGGCACAAGAACCGTAAGCACCCACCTCTCTCTCCCGACCCCCCCCCCCCCCCCCCCCCCCCCCTGTTTTTCCTTGTTACCCTTACTGTTTTTCCTTGTTACCCTTACTGTTTTTCCATTGTAACGAGGTGACTTTTGAGTCGACTCAAAAGTCACGAGAACCGTAAGACCAACCTCCCCCCCCCCCCCCCCCCCCTCCCTGTTTTTCCTTGTTACCTGATACGGCTCAATGCTGGTCAATCCTTCCTAGTCAATGCTCAATGCTGGTCAATGCCGGTCAATGCTGGTCAATGTCACACAAGGGACACCACTCAGCTCTCCCTTGCTACGCCATACTCCCTAACTGCCACGTGGCAGTTGCTCGTTGGTCCAAACAGAGCCGGAAAGTCAACACTACTCAAGGCCATGGCAGCAGCAGGGCAGGCGCAGAACTGATGGCTGGTGTGCACTTCACACTGATTGTTCCTCACCATGCTCATCACCCCCGTTCACTGCCACGTGGCAGTTAATAGTTGGTCCAAACGGAGCGGGCAAGTCAACTCTTCTCAAGGCCATGGCAGCAGGGGCAGGTGCAGAGCTGATGGGAGGAGAGAGGGAGACGGGTGAGGGGGCGAGCCTGGGCGTGTTTTCACAGGACCTGGCTCAGGACTTGCCTCAGGACGTCACTGCTCTAGACTATGTGCTCAGTGTGAGTGGGTTTCCCGCAAAAATCATGTGTGTTTCCCGCAAAACTCTAGACATGTGTGTTTCTAGCGGGCTTAGGCATGTTGTCTAAAGACCTGGCGCAGGACTTGCCTCAGGACGTGACGGCTCTTGACTATGTGCTCAGTGTGAGTGCTGTTTCTGTGTGAGTGGGTTTCCTACAGAACCTTATGTGTGTGTTCGGGAGAGGGGGTGAGCTTGGGCGGCTCAGGACTTGCCTCAGGACGTGACGGCGCTAGACTATGGCTTAGGCTTACTAATGATTTTAGTGAGCTTGGGCGTATTCTCACAGGACCTGGCTCACAAAAAGAAATTCTGAGGGGGCTAAAAATCTGCCTCATTTCTCACCTGAATCTTGTCTGCTGCCCTTTTTCTTCCCCCAGGTCGCACGGGAGCACAATCCGCTGGTGACCAAAGAACAGGGTTTCTTAAAGCACAGGCATCTCACTTCTTATTGAGTGAGAAACGTATTCGCCACCCCTTCCCCCAGGTCGCACGGGAGCACAACCCTCTGGTAACCAACGAGCAAGGCCGTACCGCCCTGGGATCCCTCGGCCTATCAGGTCCTGCGGCTCTAAGGCAAATCGCAGCCCTTTCCGGAGGGGAGAAGGCGCGGGCGGCGTTGGGTGGACTGTTGCTGCGGCCGCACAACGCGCTCCTATTGGACGAGCCGTCCAACCATCTGGATAGGGCTACAATGATGGCATTGGCCTCAGGATTGCAGCAGTTCAAAGGTGCGTTCATTCAAGCACGTGCACATGCAACCTTTTTCTGGATAAGGCGACTGTGATGGCATTTCAGCCAGTACAGCCCTTTCACATCGACGGCTCTGATGGCATTTCTGCCAGAACTGCTCTTTTACATCGATGGCTCTGAGAGCTTGCTGAAATGCGCAAGGGTCAAACAGCTGTCTGCCTGCCACAAACCCCACGTCCCTCTCTTTACCTTTCTCTCACGTCTCCCTGCGAGACACAACCCTTTTCCCTCCAGGTGCGGTGGTGGTGGTGTCCCACGATCACGATGTCTGCCAGCTCTTTTAGCCCACGCAGTGCAATCATGCTCATGGCCCTTGCAGCGTTCTTACCCCTGACACGATTCAGAACCCTTTCTATCTGCACCTTTTTCCTAATCTCCCCCTTTCAAGGGCGGCGGTGGTGGTATCTCACGACCACGACTTCTGCGAGCTCTTCCAGCCCACGCAGCTCATTCGCATCGACGGCTCCAGCACCTTGCCGAGCCCATGCACTTGTCCAATATTTGTGTTTTATCCCTCTCTCCTTTCAGGTGCGGTGGTGGTGGTGTCCCACGATCACGATTTCTGCGAACTCTTTCAGCCCACTCAGCTCATTCGCATCGACGGCTCTGGCAGCTGCATCTTTGAGCTGCTCCCTCAAGATGTGACTGCAGGGGAGGGTGACAATGCTGGTGCCAATGGCGCTGCTGCTGTTGGTGTGGTTGGTGGTGCTGCTGCTGCGCCTGTTGTTGCTGGTGGCAGGCTGGCGGGTTTGGCAGGGATGGGGGGTCTGGGAGGAGGGGGAGGGGGAGGGAAAGGAGGCGAGGTAGGGGGGAATGGAGCAGCAGCGGCAGAGGCATTTCAACGGAGTGTAGAGGTGAAGGAGCTGAAGAAAAAGCTGCAACAGGTACGGCTGAATCACCTGGCCTGGATGGCTCAGATTGAAACATGTTGCATGCGTTGTTACGACGGTTGTTACATGCATTCCTAGACGGCTGCTGTTACACGCGTCGTTAATACAGCCTATAACATGTTGTATGTTTGCCTCTTGTGATTTCTTTCAGGTACGCACCAAGATACAACGGACACTCGCCACACTGGATAAAGGGGAGGCAGCGATTGCGTCGTACGATGAAGTGATGCTGGAAGCTGGGAGCGACGTGGAACGAGTGATGAAGGTTCAGGAAATGAAGGACGCCGCTCTTGTGAAGATGAGTGAGCTGGAGCAACAGTGGGAGGACTTGGAGGAATCTGCTGCACAACTGCAAGAGAGGTTGGATTCCTTGGAGCCGTCGAAGTAGGCTGGTGGTTGCTTGAGGGCTTCTGCGGTTCAGGCACGTATGGTGCCGCTAGCTTAGCCTATAATATCCTAAGTTGCTAATACATTCGTCTGACGTTTTGTGAGGACGGTCAACTTGGAGTGCTACACTTCACGAAGTAAGCAAAACAATGGATTTCTTAGTGAAACCTTCGAGGACATCTCTGGACCAGGCCAGGTTATCCGCTTCCACGCAATGCGCGCCACTCCCTCCAAGGAGTTAGCAAGCAAATTCCACTGGCTGCACTTTCAACCTCGAAATACCCGTGGTGTGACTCAGATACTCCTCACCCGTGGGGTTGCGTCAGCTTTTCTCCCTTGTTGGCCCATCGTGTCCCACTTTCTGACGTGTCGGCCAAGCAAACAATTTCCGAGCGCACAGAACACGTCACCTTTGGGCTTGCTTTGAAATATCGGCTGAAAAGGTCTCGTCGAGTTGCGGGCTCGTGAGAGGTAAGGTAACCCTCCCACCAGGGCTGTCGCTTGGTCTGGGTCTAAACCTTACGAAGCTGAGCTGGCCCGAAACAAGCCCTGAAGCATCCGGACAGCAGTCGAATCTAGCCTTTAAATTCAGGCCATTTGGATTCCTGCCCTGAGCCACATGCGCCAGAATGCTAAGTAACTCTAGGTACCACTCTACCGATCAGAGCACGCTGGTGCGGATGGGTAGAGAGGTCTGGGAGGAAGAGAAGTGGGACAATTGCACGGTCGAAGGTCAGGAAGAAGGGGAGGAATTTGGGGGGGGGGGGAAAGGGTGAGCAGGTACGGGTCCGGGGAAGGCTCCAAACCTGTCCGTTAGAAATACGGGCTAGGAAAAAACAAACCCTGAAAATCTCTGATCTGAGTTGAAACGAGCCCTGAATTCTCAGGGATAACGGGCAAATGCCCGTGAATCGACAGGCCTGCCTCCCACCCACCCCACCATCGAGATTCCCTGCCACTTTCTCGAGAGAGGCGTTGGGCTAGGTGGACGCGCACGCACACCGACTGCGATTCGTGAACACAATTTCTGCCCTGGCCTCCAATGTGTCAGCACGTGTGAGAGCGCATCGAGAATGCCTATTGGCGGGAACGGCACTAGAGAACTGTTTTCTTCGAGCTGCCCAAAGGAAAACCGTGGGTGAAAAAAAGGAACGTTTGGAACAACGTCGAACCGTCTGCCTGACAGTGAATCCATTCGAGGATTGAGAGCGGCTGAATGCATGGGCTGCACTGTACACCAGCAGAGCAGGCCACCCCCCCCAAACCCATCACGACGAGTTCCATCCAACCTTTCTCAACCATAAGTTCTTTCTTCTTAACCCTATCCCGCCCTACTCCGCCCCACTTCCCAGCGGCATCTTGCCCTCCTCGCTCCCCTGCCGCCCGCGCACCCACCACCCATCCCAGCCCAACCCGTCCCGTCACCCCACCAGCCAAACGCTCACCATCTACCAGCGTGAACCATGCTCTAGCTATACCGTCTCCTAGTTATCTCCCCTCCATCCCGATTCCCAACCATCCACCATCTCCAACTGGCTCAGGCCACTGGAACGCGTCTCATAAGACCAGGATATGTGTTCTCCTTTTGTGAACGGATTGCCGTAGGTGAAACAATTCTTACGTGACAATCAGGTCTCGCGATTATTCACGCACAGGTGATCATCGGCGACAGAGTCTAAGCGGCTTTGTGTCAGAATTTCTCCTCCTGGCTTACACACCGGTCGCGTAGTAGACGCAAAGATAGTACCCTGGTGTTGTCTCGTGGAGTTAAGACCTTGGCTATAGTCGATAAGGTAGTCTTAGCGTTACCATAGTTTCTGGGTTCGGCCTGAGTCCGAGAGTCTAGGAAAGCGGTCCGTTGGTAGTTCTGTCATTGACTCAGAAGCCATTTAAGTCTCGAGTGAGTCTCGAGAGAGGCTCAAGTGAGTCTTGAGACGACTGGAATTAAGCCGGGATAAAATCCCGGCCATGGGTCACAAGGTGCACAAGCCGGGAGACGAGCATCGTTTCCATTCGCTGACTCATCCCCACACCCATGCGCAAGCCGGCAGTCCCCGCCTCCGACGAACTCGCATTCCGTCACGCGTAAGTTTTGTTATGCTATGTTTCGACGTGTAACCCGATTACTGTCTCGTAGGAGTCGCGTGTACGGACTCAAAAACATATTCCACTTTTGATCGATTACTTGGCATATTCCACGTGTTCCGTGAATTAACATGCGATTTCTGCGAACCTTCCAGGTGCTTGTGCAAACTAAGGCGGTCCTGTCGCGGCAGGCGAAGCGCCTTGCACGGAAGGCCGACGAGCTCGAACACGTGATCTCCAAAGTAAGCTCAAATTGCTTGCAGGCTTTGTTTTACAATTTTTACCTTTCTGAAGCGATTTTCTTCTGCAGTAAATGGACCTTCACTGCCAAGCTCAATAAAGATTCTGTTTTTCGCCTTTCGCGCAGGTTACATATTGTTTAGGCGTCCTTTGCTTCGGCATCTTCTGTTTCCTCCTCGGATCCCGTGAGTCCATTGCGCTGTTAAATGTTTAATGCTAATATCCAGCCAACCAGCCTTCGCAACTGCATGGAATAAGGTGTAGGATCTTAGTCTCCATCGTCCAATCACGGTTGATTGACTGTGGGAGCTGCTGTGACTGGCAGGGCCGTATGACGTTCCTCGTTTATACGCCGCCTTCTTCCTCATGGCCACACCCCTCCGCTGGATCTACTACCGCAGCAAGAAATGGCACTACTTTCTTCTCGTAAGTATTTTTGTTGTTCGTTTTCTCCATTTATTTTTCAAACGGTGGTATCACATTGAATTTTGGTCGCACTGATTGGGTAATTGGTGTTGTCTGGTGGCTTGCAGGACTTCTGTTACTATGCGAACGCGATTCTGGTGGCGTTTCTCGTCTTCTTCCCCATGAGTCAGCACCTCTTCCTCGTCTGCTTCGCCTTCTCTGAGGTGTGTGGTGTTATGTGCTGTAGTGTGGTGTGACCCAACCTCGTCGTCAAGCTAACGTTCGAGTCGACTCATAACGGTACTTCGCGTTGACGCAATAGCCATGCCTCAGAACCTCTTCCTCCTCTGCTTTGCCCTCTCTGAGGTGTGTAGTGTAGTGTTTCGAGATCCTTTTCATCAGACATTCGCTGTTCTACGCGAGCCTCACCACCTACAGAGGTTCCGTTAGCCTGGGCGCTCGTCGTATGGCGCTGCACCCTCAACTCCCACCCACCCCCTCCTCCCTCCCCCCACCTCTCTCCCCTCTCTCCCACGCCATCACCACCACCACCACCCACAGGGTCCCTTGGCCTGGGCGCTCATCGTATGGCGATGCAGCCTGGTGTTCAGCTCAGTGGACAAGATCGTGAGCGTGCTGATACACCTGTTACCCGGTACAGTAATCTTCATTATCCGCTGGTGGGACCCGGTGACCTTCCACCACCACTCAGCAGACGACACGGGCCCCTGGCCTGCGTGGCCGCACGTGGCGAGCATGGGCGAGCTGTGGGTGTGGATGCTTGTGGTGCCCCTCATCGCCTACAGCCTGTGGCAGGTACGGTGTACCAGGAGGCTTGGGTACTGGCAGGTACGGGTACTGGCAAGTGCGGGCACTGGTAGACGAAAAGCTGAGGGCTCAATTGAGAGGTACTGGATGATCTCAAGCCATGCGCGAGTATGGGCAAGCTGTGGGTGTGGATGCTCGTGGTGCCTCTCATCGCCTAGAAGCCTGTGGCAGGTATGGGTACTGGCTGGCAGGTATGGGTACTAGCTGGCTGGTATGGGTACTGGCTGGTAGGTATGGGTAATGGCTGGCAGGTATGGGTACTGGCTGGCTGGTATGGGTACTGGCTGGCTGGTATGGGTACTGGCTGGCTGGTATGGGTACTGGCATCTTCCCCACTCCCTCTCCCCTCCTCCCCCCAAATATCCTGTACTGATTGGTAGTGGAGGTGTTAGGAAACGTCGGCTGGTGCAGGAGTGTCATGCACGTCGTTGTCCCGTCCCCCTTACCCCCCCTTTTCCCCCCTTACCCCCCCTTTCCCCCCTTTCATCCCCTCCCTGTTACTCTGTCCAGATCCTCTACTGGTTGGTGGTGGAGGTGCTGAGAAAGCGCCAGCCGGTGCAGGAGTGTTATGCACCTCATATTGTATCGTTTCCTCCCCCTCACTCCCTTTTCCCTCTCCCCCATTCCAAAGATCCTCTACTGGTTGGTGGTGGAGGGGCTGAGGAAGCGTCGACTGGTGATTCCTTGGGCTCCTCAAATCCCCCCTCTTCCCACGTCCCACTCCCCCTCCTCCCCTCGCCCTCTGAAGATTCTCTACTGGTTGGTGGTGGAGGTGCTGAGGAAGCGACGTTTGGTGAGGGACCCAGAGGTGATGACGTCATTCCGGGAACTTTCCAAGAAGGCCTCCCGGGCCAACAACTTCTGGTGGTGGCTGAGTGGTGTGCTGGGGGACTCGCACCGCTTCTTCATGTACGCCCTCATTCAGGGCGTCTTCACGGTGAGTACCTCGTCAGGAGAGGGAGGGAAAGCATGGCAAAGAACTCTCCTGAAGAGTGGTCTCCAGACTCGGGCTTCTGTCTGGTGGTGGCTGAGTGGTCTGCTGTGGAGGATGTCCGAGTGGCCGAGGGCTTCTGGTGGTGCATGGCTGAGTGGCGTGCTGGGGGACTCGCACCGTTTCTTCATGTACGCCCTCATTCAGGGCGTCTTCACGGTGAGTACCTCTTCAGGAGAGGGAGGGAAAGCATGGCAAAGAACTCTCCTGAAGAGTGGTCTCCAGACTCGGGCTTCTGTCTGGTGGTGGCTGAGTGGTCTGCTGTGGGGGATGTCCGAGTGGCCGAGGGCTTCTGGTGGTGCATGGCTGAGTGGCGTGCTGGGGGACTCGCACCGTTTCTTCATGTACGCCCTCATTCTGGGCGTCTTCACGGTGAGTGGCTAGTTGGAATGAGGAAGGGATTACAAAGTACTCTAGGGCAACAAACTCTAGGGTGTGCTTATGAGTGGCGTGCTAGGGGGACTCGCACCGCTTCTTCATGTACGTCCTCATTCAGGGCGTCTTCACGGTGAGTGATGTGGTTGGGTTGAACAAGGGCGGAAGGATGGGGAGGGCTTGAAGGACTAGCAATCACTGATGGTGCGTGGCTGAGTGGTGTGCTGGGGGACTCGCACCGCTTCTTCATGTACTCCCTCGTTCAGGGCGTCTTCACGGTGAGCAGCTTGGTGGAAAGAGGAAAAGATGGCGAAGGGCTCTAGAGTAAAGAACTCTGGTGCTTGAGTGGCGTGCTGGGGGACTCACACCGCTTGCTCATGTACGCCCTCATTCAGGGCGTGTTCACGGTGAGCGATTGGGCTTGGGGAGCCAGGGTGGGTTGGCAGGGAGCGCGATGGGAATCAGGGGGAGGTTGCCACAGTTGCCCTCACAGTGCCCGTGTTTTGAAGCTACTTGCTGTTTTAACTCGACTGACAAGATGCTCATCTCATCTCCTCTGCCCTGTCCTCTGCAGGTGGCCACGGTGGCTCTCACAGTGCCCATGTTCTGCAGTTACCGCTTCCATGCGCTCTTCCAGATCTTCAAGATTGCTGCCTCTATCTGGAACGGTGGGTTCAAAGTTTTCGAGTTTCAGGTGTGGGATTTAGTCAGCCTTGCGGGTCACCTTTCTTTGCGAGCAGGTTGTGTTTTGCTGTGCCACAGGTTGGGTCTGGATCACAGTTCTCTTTCATCGAGCATCTGCTCCTTTGGTTGGCTCTTCAACCCACTGCAGACAGATTCATTTTTTTATGTACTGCCGCATCAAATGCATCTCAAGCGAATGGAAATTGTGTTTTGAGACAACTAAAAGCCCAACTGTTCTGCCCTTGGCCCACTGCAGGAGGTAACTTCATATTTGATGTGCTGCCACGGCAAGTGCATGCGAAGCGAATGAAAAGGGCAGCCAAGGCAGCAGAAGGAGGAGTGGTTAGTAGTGGCCTCGAAAAAGACCACCTGCTAGATTCCCCCAGTTGGGATGGACATGCGAGCAGCAGGGAAGAACGCCGGGCAGAAAAACGGGCAGCTGCGGTTGAGGCGGCAGATGCAGCGGCATCACTGGATGGGGCGTTTGTTCCGCCCATCAGTGGGGATTTCTTGTTACCGGGTAACAACTCGTGGAGCCATGTGGGGGTGAGTGGCAGTCTGGCTGCATACAGGGCGAGTGTGCGGGGGAAGGGGCATGGAGGGGAGGAGGAGGAGAGTGATGATGAGGTGTGGGAGGAGGTGGGGTCAGATGAGTTGAACGAGGAGGGGGAGGTGGAGGGAGAAGGGGAAGGGGAGGGAGTGGGGGATGGGGAGAGGGGAGGGGAGGGAGATGAGGGTGGGGAACAGGAAGAGCAAGAGCTGCTTCATGTAGACCTGGAAGCAGATGTGCATGGTAGTGGTGCTTCTGAGGGTGGGTTTGGAAGTGGGTTGCGAGTGAAGAGGTGTGGAAGCAAGACTGGCAGGGCGGCTCCCTCGGGATTTGAGAGCTCTGGAGTAGCAATTTCATTGCAAGGAGCATGAGCCATTGATGTCGGAGTGGGTTTGGTAAGGAAACGTGATTCATTTTTAGCGTGTAAAATATGTAACCAAACAATGTGGTGATGCAAATTGCAAGGTGTATTGGTCCTGCTGACATAAAGTTTTCTTGCTGGCACAATGGAGAGTCTGGACTGGAGACCTTTAGGTCCAACGAAGTGATTATTTTGAAACCTTCGTCGGATATAGTTATTATTTGGTTGTAAGTTTCTCTGAAAAGTGTGGTGTTCTGGTACTCGCATGGTCGCGCCTTGTTTTTTCGGGGACAAATATTTCCCGCTCAAACATGCTTCTCTGATTGGCCTTGGAAAGGCACGAAAAAATGCGGGAATGGCTGAAGGACACAGCCTCCTCGCGCCTCAAACGTTAGATGTAAGCCGTCAGATTCAATCCACTTTGATATCTGACGGTAGTGACAGCCTCGACAATGCATCCTTCTGTTGACCGCGACTCCGATAAAGCTAACTGCCAGCCAATCCCAAGAAGCCCCTTGCTCCTGCAACCGCCAGCACCCCGCGGAGTCACGAATCACAATGGCGGGGTGACAGGCGGACAGACGACGCTCTTGCGCCACTCCGCAGCGACTTCCGCTATTCCCAGTTACTCCTGCTCCCATCTCCCCTACGCAGTCCCCCTCGCGGTTCCTTCTCCGCGTACCATAAAATGTCTTCCCCTCGCCGCAAAATGTGTTTCCCTTGGGAAGCGTGTTGCAGGTAAAACGAACTCACTCCACAAGCATAGTTCTCTGAATATAATTATGAAGCTAGTAAAGCATTCGGGAAGAGTTGCCAGCCGCCATAGCTAGCTTCGCATGGGGGGTTCATTACGTCTCATCATTTTAGCAGCTCGAGATAGGTAGTATGCAGGCTAGGGCTTGACGGCAGGTAACCAGGTCGTCTTAGCAACTGCACACGCTTTTTTTTCTTCTTTTTTGTTTTCACAATCTGCTGTCCCGTCAGCAATCATTCCGAGGAATCACACATTGTCGCAACAATATCGATATCTAAGGAACGGTTAACTATGGAGGAGATGGTAATGGACGGTTACCTCTATAGGTTCGGCAGCTTCAGGTCTGGCGAAGGCACGTACTGCCAGTTGACCTTCTGCGTGCTCCGAGGGAGATACTTCGCACAGTTTCGCAATAAAGAAGACGAGGTGCGCTATATCGAGGTGTCCGTTAGTGTGCATGATCAGTTCTGTACGGGTAGTATTCATGGTATGGCGTCAGGCAACTGAGTATCAGGTGCTTTATCAAAGCTAGAACCATAAGCACGGCTTTGTCCGTGCATCCTAACCTTCACAAGCTGCTTTGCGGCTTCTGCTTTATACATTTTCCTCCCAATCTAATGCTTTTAATGAGAATCATAGATACCGGCAGCATATCTGCATAATTGTAATGGTATTTTTAAGGCTTATTGTCGAGTTTTTCAGTGTCCAGCGATGTTACTGATTTCCTCTTCTATGCTTCACCAGATACCTCTGCGTGAGGGCTTGCTTGATGGCACTGCTCGAGTTGAGGATACGGGCAGAAAAGTCGTCAACGGTCAGGTGAGAAAACATTTATCCTACTGTGATGCCGTCGTTCTGATGCACGCAGTTGTTCCATACGTGGACTAAGGAGATCTTTGATTCAATCATGATGCGTTGATCTCATTAACGAAAGTCTCTTTTTCAGGTATTGTACACGATGCGTCTGTACGGCATGCCTGGCGCGCACCATGCTACTGATGAGGATGACCTTAGCGAGGACGAAGAAGATGACCCTGACAGCTCAGCAGAAGCCGGTACCGGCAGCGGTTACCTGGCGCGCACAACCACAGGTTTATTTGGCAGTGGAGGCTCAACCGGGGGAGGCTTATTCGGCGGAAGCACCTTGGCTGGCGGAGGGGGGAGCGGAGGAAGTAGCGCGGATGGCGGTGGTAGTGGCGGAGGAGGCGGAATGGGAGGGACAGGGGGGAGTTTACAGAGGGTAGAGTCCAGCCTGTGGGGGGGTTGGTGGTCCGAATTGTGGCTGGATAGGCAGCCGCAGAAGCTCCACACTGTGAGGCCTGCTGGGGGCGCCAGTGGCAACAGAAGACAAGTGTCGGTAGGTGATGCATGTGCTCAGCTTATAGATTATCTCAGAATAAAGTACACCTAGAAGCTGCTCTTTCACACTGTGGGCCCCGCCGGGGTCTCCAGTGGCAACAGAAGACAAGTATCGGTGAGTGCTGCATGCATGTGGTCTGCTCTTGCTTCAAGAGCATTGAAGCATTGAAGCAATGCACATTTTCCAACTTGGGATTTTGTTCAGGGTTGCCTCGTGCTGCGTACATGCCTCTGAAAGTGATGGATTCTGTTTCGTTCCGTCTTTTTCGGCCCGTTTGCTCAACCCGTTTAACCAATCAGTCTGCACTTTCCGTCTAATGATCCTGTTAATGCAGCTGGGAACGCCGAGTGCAGAGGATGCTGCTGCGTGGATCGATGCCCTAACCAAAGCACTTACTCTGGTATGTGGTTTTGCCTGATAGCTTGAGTCAGCTTAAAGTGTAGTAAGTCAACCCGAGCGATCTTGATTTGCCGGGATGGCCTCTCATTCGGATCGGTATGCCCAATCAACAGGCGTACATATACCTTCTTCCTGCTCCGGTGTTCTGAATTATCTCATTAGACACCTCAACTAAGTTTTTATCCGGATTTATGTTGAGTCAAGAGTTTCCTATCCGAGCCCTTAATCCTGTCAGGTCCATGCTTAAAATTGTTGCCTCAAGGCTGTCGTAATTGCAGCCGCTTCTCTCTGGGATGTCCCTTCCTCTCTTGCACTGCAGCATAATTCCATTAACTCCTGCCCCTTTTCCCCCTTTTACCCTCCACTGTCGTCACTCAATCGGCAGCCGCTCCCGCCTATGCTTGCACCAGCGGCTGATGCCCCAACTCAGCCGTCACAACCATCACACCCATTGCAACTGTTACAACAACCATCACACCCATTACAACAGCCGAAGTCAGCTCAGCAGGTTCCCTCCACTCGCACCGGTCAAGATGGTAGCCCAATGTCACAGTGAGTTCAAAAATCCGTCCCCACTTTATATCAAGCTTTGCGAACTTTGCAAGGTTCTCATGGGAGCTTAACCGGCGAGTTTACTTGTTGAACAAGCCCGGTACCATTCCTCTCGCCTCCTCTTCCAGTCGTTTCACTCTTCGGGATTCTTTAGGTCGGTGCTGTTCAGTTCCTGGGCTAATCTAAACCTCAAGACTCAAAGCCCTTCGGCCCCTTCTGTCTCTCTCTGCCTCTCTTGCTCTTCCCACTTTCCGTGCTTCTTGTGCCTCTGCCTCCTATACCTCAGGTCCCCACAGGCTAAGTCTGCCTCGTCTTCCTCACCCGACCTCATTGGCTCTCTCATTTCAGCCCACGCCCCATCCCTTGCCACGCCAGCCGCCGCTGCTCATTCCCTCTTTGGCGCCCCTCCTTCATCTGCTGACGTGGCGAAACTTGCCCTCCCTGCTGTGACTGCTCTCCACCCAGCCGCTGCTGCTGTTTCTGCTGCTGCCACGGATGTTGCTGATCCTGCTGCTGCGGCTGCTGCCGCTGCTGCTGATCCAGCCGCCACTGCTGCTGCTGTGGCTAATATGATGTTCCCAGCTGCGGCTGCTATGGGTCCCGTTGCTGCTGCTGCAGCCGCCGCCGCTGCTGATCCTACAGCTGCTGCGGCTGCTGCTATTGCCGATCCTGCTTCTGCCGCTGCTTCAATGGCCAATCTAATGCTTCCTGCGGCTGCTGCTATGAATCCTGCTGCTGCTGCCCTGCTCCCTCTCGCGTCTTCTGCACTGGCTGCTGCTGCCCCTGCCACTGCAACTGCCCCAGGTAGTGCGAGAATGGCTCTCTCTCCGTCAATTCTCCCCTCCCTGTCTCCCTCCTTGTCCCCCTCTCTGCCTCCGATCGGCCCTCAAGCAAAGCGTGCTTCAGCAAGTCAGTCAGTGCCCGCAGCAGCTGCTGCTGCTGGTAGTGGCAGTGCTTTTGCTGCTTCCCATTTGGCAGCAGCAGCTACTGCCTCTACTACTGCCGACAGTAGCTTTGGCAGTGGGGACAGCAGCGGCATGCTCACTCCTCCCACTGGCTCCTCTCCCGCTCTCTCCTTCCAGCCCACCCCATCCCTCTCGCCCGCGCTCCTCCCCACCCACTCCCCCCTCGACTCATCACCTCTCACCCGAATCTCTGGCGGGGCTACTGGCCTTGGGGGCGTTTCTGCAGCGGTAGGGGATGCAGCAGGGGTAGGAGGGGCCAGAGGTGTGGGAGTGGGAGGATCAGGGCCAGGGGTAGGGACAGGGGCAGGGGCAGGGGCAAGGGTGGCATCGTCTCTGGAAAGGCCAGGCTCGCATGCACCATCCTCCCAGCAGCAGCTGCCCTCCTCGTCCTCCCACGCTCCTCCTCCTCCTCCCGCCTCCTCCTCCCCGTCCTCTGCTGTGGTTGCATCGCAATCCAAGTGGCGCCTCGACCGCTGCCAGAACGGTCCGTGCTCTCCCCGTGCTTTTCAGTTGTACGTCTGTTTGTATAACCCTGCCGTTTGCCTTGTTTCGCCTGTAGAATGTGCCTATCAATTCTTTCCATCTTTCCCTTATTTTCACTCTAGATTCCTTTCTCTTTCCCCGTCTTCTTAACTCAGCCCGTTGCGTTTGTATGAGTGAGGGAACCTGTGTGAGGACTGACTTGCATTCCTTGTGTGAGCAAAAGGATGTGAAGTGAAGCATCTTGTCCGTTCGCTCGTGCCCTTTCCTCCAGGGCTCCGATTCTTTGTGGAGGCCAGCAGGACGCCCATTCTCCACAGAAGCATGTGAAAGAATTTAAAAGGGTCGCCAGTATTGCAGACGTCAGCATTTCTCCCTTTTTCCTCGTACACTTTCCTCCAGGGCTCCGATTCTTTGAGGAGGCCAGCAGGACTCCCATCCTCCACCGCCTCTACAAGGTACC